TTTATACACATATGATTTATGCATATTTAATGTGTGGATGGGGTCAGTTACAATGGTGATGATTGCACCATTGGAAGATCTGAAAGACCAGGTTAGGACATGTCATCATAGAGAAAATCTGTCTATATGGTCACTAAGAGTCAACAATGATTTGATGGCATATAATCAATGAATAAATGTATGTGTGTGAATACACACAAACACACACACAGGTGTATATAGTTAAAATCTCACTGCCAGAACACCAAAATGTATACAGTTCTTCTACAGACGTTAACTTCTCTCTTACTGGTTCTTGGGCATGGCAAGTTATTGTACTGTTTCTGTCATTTACCATTTTCTTATGAGCAATTAAAACTTCATATTACAATAACATATAAACAAATAACATGAGATACAATTCCAAATTGTTTTAGCACCTTTAGAGGTGCAGGATTCCATGCTTATTCACTTAATGATAGTTTATGTTTTCACAAAGTCCACAATATCTCATTTCTTTTCTATATACTGATTTTTCTCTTTTTCTTTCCCTCTTTTTACTCAGTTAATTGCCTGTGTCCTATCTCTTTCCACCTCTCTCTCCAATTTCCTTTAACTTTCTACTCCATCTGGCCAGATAACTCTTTAATATAATGCAAGTAACCTACTGTTTCAGCACAGAGTTGTTGTTTATTTTGTGTATTTATTTCTATTAAACCAGAATCCAAAGACACCTGGCATTTTGTAGTATTAAAAGTATGAAACAGCACAAACAAAAGTACCTTAAAAAATAGATAGAACCATCACTTAGGTAATTTTAATGTTAAAAAATATTTCAGGATAATTCCATTTTAGCTGCCTTCCAAAAAAAATGCATTACTTTTGCCAGATGTAAAATTTTAAAAAAAATCTTTTAAAACTTAAAAAGTATGTGTTCTGTGTTATTAGTTGTCACACTTCACTTGGAAAAGACATAGAACAGGGTTTCTGAAAACTCCTTTAATGTTTAAATGGGACAGTATGAGTCCTTATTTATTTCTGTTAGATGTCAAGTTGAGTATAATTCTGTTTAAAGATTTTGTTTAAAGACATAATCTTTAAACAGTATAATGATAGCCTGTCTAAAGCAAATATTACTTTAATATCTACAGCCGTGAAATTTTTCCATGAATCTGGGACTGTTTTGGTAGAGTCTAATGAAGGCATGTACACACATATGCCCCAAAAGGTTTTATACTCTTCCTTGTATGAAAAGGGGAAGTTTGTAAAAAGAACATTATCTAGGTGGTGTTTTCCTTTATAGGAAAGGCTCATATTCTGTTGTGCATGAAGTTCTAATCCTAAACGTATTAGGATTAGCCTCCACAAAAGTGTTGATTGATCATTTACCATCAAATAATTGTGACCTCTAAAAAAAAAAAAACTTTACTAGAAAAGTGGTGAAGATTTATTTTTATTATTTGATGGACAGAAACCATTAGAGTTTTGGAGGGCTGTCTATGGAAGAATCATTGGAAGAGCCATTGTGGGCTAGCCCCATCAACTGTTACATCCCTTCATTGTCATATTCCACAGACAAATGTTTGTTTGACTTGTTTTATAAAAGTGGTCAGATATATAAACAAACAGCTCATAAATGTAATGAGGGAACATTAGATAGTCTCCTAATGATTAGATAGTCTCCTAATGGTTTAATAATTTTTGCATAGTAGCTGGCCACCCATCACAAGAATTTAACAAGTGCATCTTCATTCTGTGCTCAGTATCATGTTTTCAGAAGTGTAGATTTTGCTAGGCTCTCTCACCGATAACCCACACACTTTTCTTACATAATTCCAAATGAAAGTTTTTAGCTCCCTGTGCCTCTCTAGAATTTAATATTTCATTTTCACCAGTATCTCATATGCTTCCCTTAAACCAGTGCCATCTGTTGCTCTTAACAGCAGCTGAAAAGAGCAGAATCCAGTTCTTCACAGGAACTTTACATAGTAGCCAGATCACATAGAGAGATTTTACTCCCTCATTCCTGGAATAGGGTTGTAAAAGAAGTTTCTTTTCAGGTGAAATGTTGTGATCCACCACAACAGAATCTGTTGTAGAACAGATGGGCACATAATTCTCTGAGTCCATTATCATCTGCCTCAAAGTATTTTTCAGTTCAAACAGGTATATATGCTTGGGAAAGGTAGGTAGAAAAAAATGCACTTGTATTGGAAAGTTGTGCTCAGCAATTGAGTTGAGGATGTTTACTTTGTTTCCTTTTTAAAAGAATAACCACCACAGAACGGACTAATCCCTGAAGACAAACCGTACAGACCTATAACGACTTTGCAGTCAGGATGGAGTCATAGGAAGTCTTAAGCAGGGATCTTGGCCACTAAGAACTGTGGTGTTCTTGTACAAGTTCTTCTGCCTGGAGAAACCTGAAGATCTAGAAGATTATGAAAACTGACTATGAAGATAGGCTTGTTGCTGATTGCTGCAAGGCTATTAATCCATGTTCTTCTTCTTGCTAACAACTGCAGTATGATATTTAAAAAAGAAGAAAAGAAACTACTTTGTACATAATTGCATTCTAGGCTTTATGCAATATTTGATATTGGACCACAATCAGTTAATAAGTAGTTAACGTTGACAAATTATGATGGCAACTATAATTTTGTCATCGTTCAGTATCTAAACTGAATTCATTAGGCTCTGAAAATCCAGTCACAAAATGCTTATCTGAATTATTCTCATGCCGCAGTTCATATTGATCCTGAAATTAACTGCACATTGCATATGCATGTGTACTTCTGTAGAGGAGCACTGTGTTAGTACAAGAGTACCGTTTTGTACAAAAGCTGCACAACCCAAAGCCCTCTGGCTGTAAGTGTCACAACTTTTGGTGCAGTCCCCAATGCGCTTCCAACGATTGCCATGGAATTATAGTTTTATAGAAGAGAAGTAAATCCATGAACTATATTAAGTTAATTTTCATTCATCCAAATTTATCTCATTTTTGTCCTCTTGCTAGAATATGGTATCTGGCATACTACTGTATGCCAGCTGCAACGATTGTAGACCTTTGGTTTGGTGTCCACATCTCATGCACAGTAAAACTTTCTTTGGAATTTATTACTTGAATTACTTAGAAATGTCCTTTAGACTGGTGGTCTATTTACTGAGTAAATAAGTAGAATTTAGTGAGATTTAAGTCCACGGTTAAATAAATTGTACCTGTTGGTATCAGCAGAAATGAAATTGCTTCTGGATCCTATCTAGATTTTTAGATGAGTAGAACAGTGCTTTATTCAGCACAGGGTTCATTTAAACCTGTGAGATGGCCCCAGTATTTTTGCTCACTCTGAAATAGCCTTGCATTTTCATTTTCAGCTTTTATTTCATGCATGCTTTTTACCTGAGTTAATGTTTCATATTTTTTTTTATTTTTCCATTAATCTCTTCCTCTTCAGGTGCAATCTAGCTCCTGTGGTGGAGTTTGCTGCAGACGTGGGAACTAAATCAGATTTTATTACCATGAACCCATCAGTTGTACAAAGAGCATTTGGAGGCTTTCGGAATGAGAGTGACAGAGAAAAATTTGTGCATAGACTATCTATGCTGAATGACAGTGTCCTTTGGATCCCTGCTTTCATGGTCAAAGGCGGAGAGAAGCATGTGGAGTGGGTTAATGCATTAATCCTTAAGAATAAATTGAAAGTGCGAACTGCCTATCCATCACTGAGACTTATTCATGCTGTCAGAGGGTAAGTGTCTGGAAAAGACTGGTCTGTCCTTGGCACAATGGAACTCATAACTAAAATTTCTGCTAGAGAAAAAATGTGGCTCTAAAAGGTTTGTGATAATTCCATTCTAGTCATAATGGATTATATTTTTGATAAAGACATACTTGTTTGAAAGCAAACATTTCCCATCTGTTTAGTCCATTCAAAGGCAAGCACTGGGACTGATTTGATTTAATGATATTTATTTCTTCACTTTATATACAAAAGGATGTGAATCCTCATCCTTTGACTTGTAGCAGAGCCAACCACTGCCAATATTACCTGTTCTGAAAATGTTGCCTCTATCCTACATATGCTGTTGTTTTCGATATGTATTTTTTCTACTATGGTGAAACAGGGCTTGAGAATCCAGATTCTTTCTTTCTGCAATTGAACAAGCATAAAGAAAATCTGATAAGTGATATGATAAACTTATAAGATGAGACATGGAAAGTTTGTCCTTAATTGTTCTTGTGTCTCTTTTTCCTTTAGACCCTCTCAAAGTTTTCATGCCTGTTTAGAAATTATGAATAGTAGGAGATTCATATTGTATTTGTAAGGTGCCTAGCTGCTTTTTTCGGGTATAAAATAATTTTATTCTTCTGCCTCTTTAGTTTATGCATCAAGGATCACATTAGTCAATTTGTTATATGAGATTAGTTGCTTTTTGTGATGCATCAGTTCCTTCTGGAGATCTTTTCCCAGGTTGTAGTCCTTCACTGCATTGTTATGCTGTACATTTTTTTTCTGACTTAAAACATTTCTTATTGTTAGAATCAGTTCAGTTTACCAAATGGTTTGTTCCATTGAGTGTTGTTTAGTTATAAATGGGATAATTATTTTCCCAATAAATTAAGGATACCATATAAAAATATCTTTTTTTCATACTTAGTACACTGACAACATTTGTATCTCATACAGTTGGAACCTATTTATATCACTGGTGCATATTTGTATGTGTGTGTTATATAACTGCTCACCTCACACTGGTGACTCTAGGTGGTGTAAAAGTATTAAAGGATTAAAACATGAAACCACAAAATACAACCCCCAGCATTGAAGGATAAAACAATAACCCCATTCACAAAAACAAACAAAAAAGCCAACATCAACAACAGCAGAGCTCACCAAATCTTTTGACCCAAACGCCTGAGGAAACAGATGATCAGTTGCTTGCAAAAGGCTAACAGGGTTAGGGCTATCTGAATCTTGAGGTGGCGGGGGGGGGGGGGGGGGGAATGCTGTTCCATAGGGCAGGCAGTAGTTCACTGTATGATCCAAGTATGTGCTCTACACGGACCTGTGTTCCATATAGTACCATTAAGCAACAGTGCAAGCAATTCTACCAAAAAGTCAAAAATTAAAAATCAAAACCAGAATCTGGTTCTGAAAAGAAATATGAGTCAGTAGCAACAGTAGCTATTCCAGAGTTAGGATGCCAAAAAAAAAAAAAAGGAGATTGAGAACACCAGAGCAAGACCTGTGAGGATGGAGGTAATCAAGTTTTCTGAGCTAAATCTAAGAAAAGATTTCACAGCTGATGAAAACACCTCTCTGCAGAGAAACAAAATTTAAAGTATTAGTATTCTTTTGCTTGACTTAAAATCCATAACAGAGAAAAAGTATCAGCTTCTCTGGATGACCAGTGTACTATACACTCAGAGTAGATATCTATCTGAGCAAAACCTTTGTCAATTCATGAGTTCCAGCAATGATGCTCTCCAGAATCTAAGAGTTTTAGCATGCTTCCTCTTTGACAGAGAACTGCATTATAGTAATTATTTTGGTTATATTCTGCTTTTCATTGGCTTTTTCTTTATTAGAATATCATACATTATAACTAGTATTTTTCCAAAGTTACTTTTCAAATAAGAAAATGCATAGGGTATTATGTGGTAGTGAAAATTTATAGGACTTATTATTCTGAAAGCAGTTGTACCTATCAATAGTAAAAATAACTGTCCTGATTTATGTAATAGCTTTATTCTCTGAAACACTAAATGAAAATTCAGTCTTCATAGTGGATCTGCATAACTACTATTGCAATCTTCACAAATCTATCTTGAGAATAGCAAGAGTAACCCTGCCTAACATGGTTCCCTCCTGATGTATTGGATTGCACTTTCTTAGTGTATAGGAAGAATATATTACATTTAAATAAATTTTACCACAGTGGGAAGATTGAGACAGATAAAACATGCTTGTCTACACAGTCTGTTGTCTAAAGTTGATGGGCAGCTTGAGAAATTGCATGCTCTCTCTCTTGTTCATTCTTTTACTGTTGGAGTCTTTTGACTAGGGAATTGTCCTTAAGCCCAAAATTATCCCCTGCAAACTAAAGCACATGGACACCTTCTAAGGAAACTTCAAATTGAAACAGATGTTGCATCTGCTGATTCCTTTATTATACCTTCAACTTCAGTATCTCCCTAGTCTCAGGTATGGATTGTTGCAACATGCTCTACATTTTTTTTTTTAATTTACTTCCAAAAGGCCCAAAAGCATGCTCTACATGGAGCTGCCCTTGAAGACCATTCAAAGCTATGGCTAGTACAGAATGCAGCAGTGGGAGCAGTCTGGGGGCACATTTTGGTAGGCTCATGTAACACTTTTGCCACATGAATTGTAATAATTGCCATTAAGCTTTAGGTGCAATTCAAGATGCTGGCTATCACCTATAAAGCCCTTCATGGCATAGTGCCTGGGTATCTGAGGGACTGCCTCTCTTCCATTACAGGTAGTCCTTGTTTAGCGACTGCCTCATTTAATGACTATTTGCAGTTACAACAGTGATGAAAAAGTAACTTTGCAATCAATGCTCGCATTTACAACCTTTGCAGGTCTGTAAAGCAAAGGAAAGCTGAAGTAAGATTGTAAGCACAGTCATGGTTTCACTTAGTGACCGCTTGCTTAACAACCAAGTTGCTGGTCCCAATTGTGATTGCTAAACGAGGACTACCTGTATTTCTATCTATCTTCTATGATCCAACAGAGTAGGAACACACTGTCAACTCTTGGGACCCAAGAAGTGCACATTTTCTATCTTAACACCTGACTTTTGGAACAGCATCCCTGCTGGAGGGTCAGACCACCCTGACCCTGCACACCTTTAGACAAATTTTAAAAACCTGTTGTTGTTGCTTTTCCATAAAGCACTTTAATAGGTTGGTGGTGTGTCCATTTGGTTTGCAGCGTTTGTTTTGGCTATGGTATGTTGTTCCTCCTGTTAAGTTTAGTTCCATTTTTATTTTTATTGGCTTTGTTTTTTAAGTACTGAATTTTTTTAATTGTACACCACCAAGAGTCTGTGTTGAGTTGGGAATCCTTATGAATCTCAGTTATAAGTTGTATAAGTTATCAATTATAATATTGGTATAAAAATTCTGTGTGCTGGCTGTTATATGAGATCGATACTACGTTGAGAGCCCCTGTAGGATATAATGCTAGAGCAGGCCCAGTGCTTCATTCTAGGCTAATGTGAATCAGGTCCACTGTAAACTGAAGATGATTGTGTACTTTATAGCAGCACATGAAAGGAATAATTTCCTTTTCTAAACAGAGTGATATCGTTACAAGCTTTAACGGCTATTGTGCACACCGAGATGCTGGAAACAAGAGCCTGTAAGTTACTGTCCAGTAAGCAATTTATGGCAAATTAGGATATGCTTCAGATTTAGGAGAATCATAAGAAAGAGTACAATAGGAAGTGGAAAATCAGTGCTAGCCCTACAGAGATAAGGAGTAAGGAGATATATGTACCCACAGAGATCCTGCCTTTTAAATGAAGAAAGAGCATGAAAGCTGTGAAAAGGCACAATGATGTTCCCCATTAGACAAATTATCAGTAGGTGCGTAGAACATCCACACAAGATAAAGATCATAAAGGATATGTTGAATTAGAGATGAAGCTGACTAGTGAAAGATTAGCACCTCCTGCAAACATGTATCTGCAACACATAAAGGGTTAAACTTGGAGAGGAGCTGCAACTCAAACACCCAGTTGTGGCCATCTTAGAGGAATTTTCTGAATGATGGTAGAGAGTACGGCAAGACCAGTTCTGAGGAGCCATGCTCTTGCTTTCAGAGAATTGCTTTCACAGCCATGGTCTTTCACAGCCATGGATTCAGGCTATGGAGGAAGGACAAAGCCATGAGGGTGCATCTGCTTTCAAGTTAAGTGCCACAGAGCAGAGCCAGATTGCTGGAAAGTGGGCCTTGGAAGTATTAATCTATTCAGGATTTGGTTGTTGTTTTAAGTAGGCTGTTAGTTGCAAGTAGCCCAGCAACCATAATTTAGTCTAAACACCATTAACTGTGCTTGAGTGGAGAGCAGGAGCTTCTGAGATGTAAGCCTTTGCTTGAGCTCATCAAATACTGAGACATTTGAGATAGCCTGATTTAAACTTCTCTGTTCCTTGAAACCAACCTTAGCCAGACTCTTGATCTGATCCAGCATCTGTGACCTTTTTTGCAGAGATTGGAATTCTGGACTGGACTTATACCACCACGTGAGACCTAGGACAGGACTCACCATCCTATGTTTGCTACTGTTAAAAATCTGCATAACAACATTTCTCAGAGTTTGTGAATCCTGCCCTACATGATTTCAGATCACAGAATGCTTTGAATTCAGCAAATTGATGTATAGGCCCTTTTCAGATCTTTATATGAATGTCTTGAAGAACAGCCTGGTCCATAAAGCAGGGCTTACAAGCTGGCCCATGACCCTTCCACATTTTAAATTTCCATAAATCTGCAGTGAATGTTTGCATAGGTTTAAAAGTTGCAAGGATATTCTCATCATTGTTGTTCTCATGTTACTGTTAGTATTAACTGTGTATATTTTGTGGAGAGTATGTAAAGGAATCTGTAGTAGATCCCAAATATTACCTGCCTTACATCTTCCTGACTTTTCTGTCCAATGAACTAGTTAGTGGCTCTGGGAAAATATATCTGATGGTAGTATAGATAGTACTGAACTA